TTATAAACATTTTCTTTAGAATACCTAGTAAAATGCCATAAGAATAATATATAAAAAATAGTTTACTTCTTCATCATACGTTGTGAACCCTCTTAATGAATAAATTATTTAATTATTTTATTTAATATTAATTTATTAGATAATGCAGTTTGAGTTTGAATTGTCACATAAGATCGAGCACTGTAGTAGTTTAAATTGTCATCTTTCCTCAATCAGGTGAGTGAAATTATCATCTTTTCTTAATCATAGTCCTGAGTGTTCAAATAATGTAGTTTGAATTGTTAGTTTTTCTTAACTAGTTGAGTAAAATTATCATCTTTCTTAACCAGCTGAGTTAATAGTCCTGAGTGTTCAAGCACTGCAGTTTGAATTGTCATCTTTCCTCAACCAGTTGAGTGAAATTATCATCTTTCCTCAACAGTAAAATTATCATCATTCTTCAAGCAATTGGGTAAATAGTACTCGAGTGTTCAAGCCTTACAGTTTGAATGATCATCTTCTCCTCAACTAGCTAAGTGAATAGTTCAAGCATTGTAATATCCAAAATATTAAATAAAATAATTAGACAGTCTACTTCCTCAGTATGCCTTATGAACATTGTTAATGAATAAACTATCTAATTATTTTATTTAATATTAGTTTATTGGAACACTCAAGATTATTCACTTAGCTGGTTGAGGAAAAGATAATAATTCAAATTACAGTTCTTGAACAATCAGGACTATTCACTTAATTGATTGAAGAAAAGATGACAATTCAAACTGCAGTATTGAACATTCAGGACTATTCACTTAATTGGTTGAGGAAAATGTGACAATTCAAACTGCAGTGTTTGAACCATCAAGACTATTCACTCAGCTGGTTGAGGAAATATGACAATTTTAATGAGCTGGTTGAGGAAAATATAATAATTCAAATTGTAGTTCTTGAACACTCAAGACTATTCACTTAACTGGTTGAGGAAAAGATGACAATTCAAACTGCAATGCTTGAACATTCAGAACTGAGGAAAATGTAACAATTCAAACTGCAATGTTTTGAACCATCAAGACTATTCACTCAAGAGGTTGAAGAAAAATGACAATTTCAATGAGCTGGTTGAGGAAAGATGACAATTTCACTAAGCTGGTTGAGAAAAAAGATGACAATTCAAACTACAATGCTTGAACACTCAGGACTATTCACTCTGCTGATTGAGGAAAGATGACAATTTCACTCCGCTGGTAGAGAAAAAGATGACAATTCAAAATGAAGTGCTTGAACACTCAAAACTATTCACTCAACTAATTAAGGAAAGATGACAATTTCACTTAACCGGATAAAAGATGATAATTTTACTCGGTTGAAGAAAAGATGACAATTTCACTCCGCAGGTTGAGAAAATATGACAATTTTACTCAGCAGGTTGAGAAAATATGACAGCAGGTTGAGAAAATATAACAATTTTACTCAAACTACAATTATTAATTTTTATAATATTATTTATCTATCTTTCTCTTTATTTTTATAATATTATTTATCTATCTTTCTCTTTATTTTTCATAATATTATTTATCTATCTTTCTCTTTATTTTTATAATATTATTTATCTATCTTTCTCTTTATTTTTCCTAATATTATTTATCTATCTTTCTCTTTATTTTTCCTAATATTATTTATCTACCTTTCTCTTTATTTTTCCTAATATTATTTATCTACCTTTCTCTTTATTTTTCCTAATATTATTTATCTACCTTTCTCTTTATTTTTCCTAATATTATTTATCTATTTCCTTGTTTTCCTAATATTATTTATCTATTTCCTTGTTTTCCTAATATTATTTATCTATTTCCTTGTTTTCCTAATATTATTTATCTATTTCCTTGTTTTCCTAATATTATTTATCTATTTCCTTGTTTTCCTAATATTATTTATCTATTTCCTTGTTTTCCTAATATTATTTATCTATTTCCTTGTTTTCCTAATATTATTTATCTATTTCCTTGTTTTCCTAATATTATTTATCTATTTCCTTGTTTTCCTAATATTATTTATCTATTTCCTTGTTTTCTTAATATTATTTATATATCTTTCCTTGTTTTCTTAATATTATTTATCTCAAATAAACTCGTAATCTTTCCTTGTTTTCTTATCCCTATCCCGTATCTCAATAGAATTGAAAATTAAAAAATTTAGAGATAAACTCGTAATCTTTCCTTGTTTTCTTATCCCTATCCCGTATTGAAAATTAAAAATTTTAGAGAAAAAAAAAAGTAACAAATTGAAACAGAATGTAAGTTGCAAATCGAAAAAAAAAAAAAAAGTAACAAATTGAGACAGAATGTAAGTTGCAAATAAAATAAAAAAAAAATGTAGGTCGCAACCAGGCCCTCCAATCATTGTGTTCATCAGGGAGAGCAGACATGTTGACCTAAAGGATCAATTTCCGTGCACACAACCATGCTGCCTTCATTATTTTAATCCAGAGCATCGGCTTATTGTGCACGGATTCACATTCAATTTCAAATAGGACAGATCGTAATAACATTCACAAATTAACGAAGAAATAGAGATATATATTACTCCGCGAACGTAAGAAATTGGAAACAGAACCAAAACTCTAAGAAGAAAAAAAAATAGGAGACGAAGACAAGGCTAACCCATTGGCTGCGACGATAATCCCTCAATACAGATGTCTACTGGAAGGAGGTGGGTCGCTATTTATAGTGGGAGAGAACTATTTAGGGTTTATTTGCGCCGTTGGGTTGGAGGTTAGTTTGGTAAATTTTTCTGCACCGTTGTATTTTATGGGCTTTCTTACTTTAGAAGTTTCGCCCGAAGTTAATGTGGGTTCGCACGAAAAGCTTGGGAGACTTGGCCCATACTTAAACGTAAGCTAACCTTGCCCAAAGACTTTAAATATATTTTATAATATGCTTTTACTCTCGTCAGTATTCATTATTTTTTAGAAATAATTTAAAATATATTAGCGAAAATTAGTTATAAAGTAAAAAACAGTAATTTAAAAAGAAATCATGTTATAAGAGTTAATTAACATAATAATAATAGAATAACATGAATAAAAACGTGCCCTTTGATGTTATTGTTGATGAAGATGTTCATACAGAAGAGCTCAGGCTTAAAGAAGGATGCGTAAATTTTGTGCTTTAGGCTCGAAGGAGAGAAGAACCACAATCTTCTTTTCTTTTTTTCTACCTGACCCAATCCAAAGAATGGGGAAATATTGTATATCCCTACATTTAAGAAAGAAAAAAAATTAAGGCTAGTGCACTATCCTCTCTCTGTATATAAAGTAGATTAATATAATTTCTTTTATTTTTTGTGTGATTTAGATTATGGAAAGTGAAGGAGTGAAAGAAAAAAAAGAGAATAAAATATTTTTGTAATATTATTTCATTTTATTAATTTGTTATATTTAAAATTATTTTTTTTAAATAAGCTTTAAAATTAATTATATATGATATATTGATCGGGTTTCTAACATAAATTGAGATAAAAAATTAATATAATTGACATGTTATTATTATTTTTTTCACTTTGTAACGTGGAAAGATTTTAAAAATAATATATTTTAAAAGAAAAAATATTTAAATAAAATACATATGAATTTATTTATCTAAATAGACCTATTTATTATTCATGTGTAATTTTTTTCTCTTTTTTCATAAATTTTTTTATTTTATTTTCTTTCTTCATTCACTCCTTATCTTTTTCTCTTCTCCCATTTATTCTTCTAATTAAACTGTTGTATTTTTAATAAAAATATCTAAAAACAAATATTTTTAAAACAACATTAAAACTAAAAGAATATTAAATAAATGTTTAAAATTATGATGATAATTTTATTTATTTTGACAGTAAATAATTTTATTATTTTAATAATAAATAATTTTATTTATAATGAAGTAAATAATTATTTTAAAATTATATTATCATAATAAATAATTACTCATTTAATTAAAATAATATTAAACATTTATAAATTAAAATTATTTTTATTTAATAATTTAATTTAGTTATAATTAGACTGAGTTATGATAATGAGTTAGATCACATATTAAAAAAATATTTATTAAAAAAATACTTATATAATATTTTTTATATAATATATTATATTATAGTATTTATAGATCATTTAAATATTTTAATTTTTTTTAATAATAATATAAGACTTGCATTCATCAAAATTCAATTTTCTATTTTTAGTTGAAGAATAAGATGGAGTGAAGGAAGAACAAAAGAGGAAAAAAAAGAGTAAATAACAAGAGAGAAACATAAAATAATAATAATAATAATAATAATAATTTATTTTATGTCAAATAAAATTATTTTTCCTTATTAGTTTGTGTATGAAAGCTAAATAGATAGATTTGAGTAAATAAATTTAGAAAGATTTTATTTAAATTTTTTTTAATATATTATTTATGATATTTATTATTGTGTGAATAATAATAATTTTAAACATATTTTAGTTTGATACGAGGACATACGGTAAAGGTGAAAAGTTATGAATAATATAATTGGAATTATAGATTCTACAACTCAAGAAATTTAAATGACTTCAAAGACCTCATTGAAATGCTACAATAGAAATAGTTGTATTAAATAACATCTATTTACCTAAACAACATTACAAAATAGACACTATCATCTCCTTTTTCTTTTTTCTTTTTCTATCTCTCTATTTCTCTAGTAGAGTAGTATATCTTTAGTAGTGGCAATAAAGAACAAAAAAGGTTTTTATTTAATTTGGAAGCATGTTATTCTCTATGTTACATCGTGCATGGAATTCCAACCCAAACTTCAATTCTGTTGCAGCACAAATGGAATAAAAACTCAAACACTTAGTAAAAAAAGAACCAAATACACACGAAGAAGCACTATTATAGTTTATATACTATCTTATATTACTTCAATCTCATGCATTATTATTCCTTCAAGACACATAATTTGTTTCCTTTCAACGTAACTTCTGATGCATTCAGCAGAAACATATCTATCTACTCAACTCCATGTGTCTGTTTATATTGCAGGGCAAAAGCATAGATCCGGTGAGGGTGAGGGAGTGCCGTGGCCACACTCTCTTTCTGCATGCACCTCTTGACCCACGCCACAAGTTTCGGACACTCTTCATCAATGCTTAGTTTTCCGCATGTCTCAACCGTGTAAAACCAGCTAGTGAAGGGAACAAGAGCCACATCCACATACCCAAATTCTTCACCACCAAAATATGGTTTGTCTCCAAGTTCATCTTTCAGGGTCTTCAAGCACTCTATGAATTGTTTCTTGCACTCTTCTTGGTCACCCTTCCCCGTCCATATCCTCTTTATAGAATTGTATACCTACATCAAACAACCACACAATTCTTTACCCTTCTTAAGTAAACTTTATAAGATATTTTGATCTAAGTCAGTTTCGAAAGGTATCGAGTATCGTAGCATAATTGTTCAACCAATCAAATCATTTGTAATTAGTCTGCGATTTGATTATGTAGAAATGTTATTAAGTTCATGGTATGAAAAAACTATGGTAGACTCTACGTCTATTAATTATATGACGAGAAGAATATACACAAATGAGGAAAACTTAAAGAAAACTAATTTTGACCAATAGTTGCATGTGTAATGTAAAAGTATGCATATAACTTACATTTTTGTCAATGTAATCGCCCCAAAACCTGGCTTGGGATCGTTTGTAAGGGTCAGAGGGAAGCAGAGAGGGCTTGTGGTTCCATGCCTCATCAATGTACTGAACAATATTGAGTGACTCACAGATGGGTTTTGCATTGTGAATCAAAACTGGTATCATTTTGTGAACCGGGTTCATCTCTAGAAGCAGAGAGCTTTTAGCTCCAAAGTCTTCTTGCTTGCAATCATACGAGATTCCCTTCTCTGCCAAAGCGATTTTCACTCTCATTCCATAAGAGCTGGGCCAGAAATCCAATAGAACAACATTGGCCCCTGCCATGTTTGCCTGGATAACGTGTGTGACTTGGTTATCAAACTCGAGTTAATCAGTGAAATAAACAAGTTAACTCGTGAGTAGTTTTAGAATAGATTCTAAGATAAATTTGGTATATTTTCTCTGAATAAATTCGCAAAACAGACTTCCACTCTCCTCTTTCTTCTCACAATTCTAGATCCCCTCCTTTTCGTCGTTGGTTGTTGTGGTCGTCATCGTCGTGATGGGCTCGCCCTTGACCGCGTATTGTGTTTTTTTTTTTTTTTTTTGATTATTTCAATAAAGTAAAATTAAAATTATTATATTTTTTTATAGGAATTAGATTCTTACTAATTTTCAATTCGAGTTTATGAGTTTACATACCTCACTCACGAGTAGATTGTCGATTCTGATAACTTGCTGCCTCGATGGGGTTAGTTCTAATTTGAGACTGATGATGGTTTAGATGCTTGTAGGTTTGGGGTATTTATACATATGCATTACTTGTTTGCCAAGAATGAAACGATCAAGTTTTACCAAAGATGGGTGTCATTTCTCATGTTGGTACGCTTCTTCGTCCTTCAACTCAACTCGTTCTTTTGATTTTTATAATTTTGACCACTCAAGAGTGTGAAAGGAATAAATTCAGATATATTTCGTATGTTTTAATAGAAATCAAATTTGACACGGTAAGTGGTGAGTAATAGTGAGTTAGCCCTCCACCAAAAAATTATTATTTTTTATATATAATAATTATTTTTTAAAAAGTAAATATACTTTTTATAAATATAAAAAACAAATCATTTTTTTTCTTTTAAAATAAATATCATAATTTTTTCTTTTATATAATTTTATATTTATTTTTCTCTCTCTCTCTCTCTTTCTTTTATCTTCGTATTTTTCTATTTCTCATTCATCTCTTCATTTTTTTTCTACTTTAATTTTTCTATAAGAAACTCATCTTATCTTTTCACAAATTTATCATTTTCTTTATTTCTTATCATTTTTATATTTGTCTCTTTGATGGTCACTTCTTATAACATAAAGTTTTAAATTTTTTTCTTTAAACTTTTTTATAATTTTATCTTTATAACATAAAAATTGTAAATTTTTATTTTTTTAGTTCTTTTTATTCACATTAAAGTCATAGGACAATAAGTTAAAAAAATAGGAGATATCTTGAAATAAAGAAATAAGAAACAAAATTATTTTTGTTTATCATTATAACAAATTATCATATATTATCATATATGTAGGGTTATATAAAAAGATGAAATATTGTTATAAATTTATTTATTTATTATAAATTAGTTAGTTATTTTAAGATTCTTGTATTTTGATGTTAAATTATGAAAAAAAAATTAGATTGAGTTTTAAAAATTTAAGAGTTATAAAATGTCTAAAAAAAATTATAGACTATTTTTTAAGAAAAAATAAATAATAAATAACAAAATTGATTTTAAAAATTTAAATTCAATTAATAATGTGAAATATATCCATATATAATTTTTATAATATATTTATTTTTATATAATAGTTAGTTTACATTTTGATACTTTTATAAATTTTTGGCCAACTTAGCTAGGATATTTGTTTATTTAGTGTTTAATTTTTCAATCTAACAAATTTTTATCTGGTCTCAACTTGTATTTTTTTGCTTGGTTGAGCTTGATATGATAATTTTTTACGAACCTTAATGAGACATATATTTTGGCTATTTTAAGTCCAGTCATCTTCAATCCAATCTCAGAAGAGATGACATTTTTAATTTACTTTCGACCAAATAATCTTTTAATGCTTGAGACATATTCAACTTAAACTCAACAATCACAAATTTGATTAAACTCAATTAAAATAATTTTTATTCAATCTCAAATACGATATTTTTAGAGTGGCTATGAATAAGACGTCCATCAGTTAGTTTTAAAAGACATTTTTTTGGTCCGTCTAAGACAAATTAATCACAACTTTTATTTGATTAAAATATTTTATTTCCCATTTCAAACTTTATATAAATTTAGACATAAACAAGGTAGATTAATTTAGTGCAATCTTGTAAGCCAATGTGTTAGCAAAACACATGACACTTAAGAAATTTGGGTTAAATTAGGTTGATAAATAATTTTGTACCTCTTTTATTGCTAAGTTAAATCTCCAAAATGAACTGTATGACAATTTCAATTGCATTTTTTTTATTATTTTATAAAACCTATGAACTGATCCAGGCCCACAGGGCTTTGTAAGTTTTAGGCCCTTTAGCATTTTTTATATGGGCTTTTTGACCCGGTAATTTAACAGTCCTACATATAAAAAACTATTACACTAGAAAAACATGTATTACAAAGTTTAAACAGAACTACATTTTATTGCACTTGATTCTATAAAACACGAGAAATTTTGAATGTAATGCAGCAACTTATGAAATATATAAAACAAATAAGATTATATGTAGCATGTAAAATTTTAATATATAAATTCGGTACTAAATAAAATCTCTATATAGCTCCTGGGTTCAGTTTTTTCCCGCGGTGGCATTGGAGTTGAAAATTTCGGTTTTCGCAGAAACAACGCGTTCTTCAGGTTCACCTTTCAACGATCATATTCTCTTCACTACATTCGGAAACAGAGATTTAGATCTCGATTCGTCGTTGTAGGTATCATTCTTCTTCTCTGTAATTGCAAAATATCTATCTGAAATCACGATTGCTTTCAGAATTTCACTCGATGATATTGCTGATTTGTTTTTCAATCGAAATTCCGAATGCAATTGTGTGAACTGTGCGGTTCTGCTTTGTTTCGTGTGAGGTTATAGGTCGCATCCTGCACGATGTTGCAATGGATGGGAGGATCCAGGCGGAAAGTCGCTACTGTGAGTTGGAGTTTTGCAGAAATTTGGATGAGCTACTGCAATATAATTTCAAACGAATTGAGATATTCTGTATAATTAAGAAGAAACAAAATCTGTATATCATTTGAAGGATTAACAGTATCCTAGAGGACCGCATAAATTTTTTGCTTTGAAATGATGACTTGCATTGGTTCAGAAAGATGATATTTTATTTTTGAAGTCTATTATATTTAGATGTTATTTGAAATCACAAGATTTTCTGAATAAAATTTGAAAGTAAAAAATACTAGTCATATCTTTGGTGCAAATTGTAAATTTGATTTTCATGTTATGCTAGCAGACATGGCTGGGGTGGCGTGCCATTCCAAATTGCAAATTGTTTGGAAAAATAAATTGAATGATGTTAATTTTTCTTCTGATGTCCAAACATTTTATCTGTTTGATGCATGATAATCACTGGCGCTGGGATGGGAGATTTTCAGTCAAGGAAGTCTACGCAGAAGAGGTAAAAATTAGATGTCATGTTAGTTACACTTAGATGAAGTTTGGTTGGTCGAGGCCGGGAAGAGCGTTTCTGCTAAAATTTGGTGGTTACATTGTGGAGTTGTAATGAACTTCTTATTTCCACCAGGCAAAAGCAATACTTTGAACAAAGAAAGCGTAAACAACAAAATCTGCAGATGATGGGTTCAGATAACTGTTTCGATAGTCCTGGAATAAGTGGACAAAACCTCAAGGAACATCGGTCTCTGGACATTCTTAATTTGCTTAACTTGTCAACAAATGCTCAGCAAAGCAATCCATTTTGCCCGGAGGGTAAGGATGATGTTATTTCTGCATAACAGATTTGCTGCTGCTATTTCTTTGCAGACTTGAAAAGTGAGATATTTAAAACACTATTTTATAGCATATACACATATTGATAAAGTACTTACCCAGTATTGTCATGTTTGAAACATTCGGGTAGCCCGGACTATCACAAGCTAATGCCATTTGTTACGGAGGCTTAGCATTACCCATCTTTTCTTTTGTTTCCCACGTTTGGTGCTTCACTAATCAGCTAAAACGGCAATAGTAACACTGTATTAAAACCTGGCTGCTAATTTTGGATTTCTGGTAAGTAGTCATTTAGCTCAAAAATTTAATGTTCTGAAATACTTCCTGAAGTACAACCGTGTTGGTAGGGAAAAGGACAGCCATGTAGCTAATACTTCGTTTCTGTTTCCTTTGTCCTGATGACTTTGTGTTGCTTATCTGTTTCTTTTCTTGCTTATGTCCTGTTTATTAAAATTATAAATTTCCCCCCATATTAACTGCACAACAATGAAAGGGAGGGACGATGAAGAAATCAATATTTCTACCGTGCAAGGTAGTGTTCCGGCAGATCAGCCAACAATGTTTACCAATGTGGATAGTACAGTAAATTCTTTCAGATTTGAAGAGGCAAGTACGTGATCTAGTACATTAGCCAACCGCAAAAACTGTCGAGTCTGTTTGGTTCGATTTAAATGAAATTTGGAACTAAGATGTGAAATATATATATATGAATGTATACAGAAGCAGGGGCACCTTTGTGCTGCCAGATTGAAACATCACCAAAGTGAGTGATACTTTTACATTGTTACTGAGCCTTCTACTTTATTATTATATGGTTAATCTTAAAGAAATTGAATGATCCAAGGGGCTCTTGATGAGGTTGGAGAATGACTGCCTACTTGTAGGCATGGTTTCACTTGTTTCATTTTAACTTATTGCTCCACATAGTAATACATCCATGGCTAGAAAGCATATAAAAGGTGCTTTCAACTAAGCTAGAAGGAAACGTCTAACATATAATACATTCGCTAGTTTTTTTTTTTTTTGAGCTCATTATGCCTTTTTCTTTCATTTGATGGGTATGCAGAAGTTGGATTGGCATGGTTCAAAAGCTTTTAATCTTTTTATCAGTTGAGTTGGTTCAGTCTGTGGCTTAGAATTTTCAGAACTCTAGATGAAACTACTTAAAACAAATTTAAAGGTAAACCAAATGACAGAGTTTGAAACTGAACCGAACCTTCATTCGTTTGCTTGGCGGTGGTTGTTTCACCATTTCCTTCCAGACTTTAACCACTTCTCTCTAATTTTTCTTTCTTTTTTTTTGAGAGTGGGTTGAATGTAGAAAAAGTTACAAGGGGATTCTTTCTAATTATTGGCTTGGTAATTCTTAGGCTAACCTGCAACCACTACTTATTTGTTTCACCTAACATCCACGTATTTCTCAGCATTCAAAAAATTCATACATTTTCTTCAATTGACAGGATTGCTCCCGATCACCAGAATACTGCCTTTAATGGACCCCTGAATCAACGGAAGACAGTAACTGATCAATGTAAGTAGCATATTACAGATATTCAATAAACATATGTCGGAAATTTAGATTATATCTTAGCATTTTTTGCTTTCGAGGCCATTACAATGGAATTTATTTATCATTTATATTTTCATTCAAATTCAGCAGCGTGACCATCATCCCGCAACTTTCTTCCTCTCACCTATTGATTTGTCCTTGTTCTCAGACTCGGAATTTTCTGTTATTGATTTGCTTTGTGATGATGAGCCTAATCCCACTGCAGAAAAGTGTCCGACCTGCGAAGATCATGTTTCTTTTTCACTTGAAGGTATATATTGCTTTTCAATCGTCTTGATTTCCCTCCCGTTTCATATGTCATTATTCGTAGGATATTGTGACTATTGGTATGTACTCGTCGGCTAAAATGCAAAGATAATTCTCTTTTAATTTAAGTTGGAAGCAAAGGTGATGCTGAATTTCGTGTCTTATGAAATTATTTATTGCAGTGGATGTAAAAAATTGATGATAATGGTTCAACTTGTAATCTTCAAATGTAGCAATGAAACCAAAATCTTTACCGTCAGTTTTTTTCTGTGGAACTTGATATCTTATAACATTCTGGTTTTGTTTTTGTTGCCCAGATTTAATTGTGATATTCGCAATTTTCATCTTTCAATACATCTCTGCTCCTAGGTGTTGTTTCTTAGATGATTTCTACATTCAGATAAAGTGAAACTTGATACATAACAATGTTATCAAATTGTTTTTTACTTGACATTTTTCCCCATATATATATAATGTTAATTGAAAATCCTTCTAGGCTTGGGTAAAGTTGGGACAGTGACGCCAGTTCATTCGCCAGAACAACGTGCTAGGTAATTAAATTGATACTTTTTGGATAATCTTTCATTTGTTCCTTCTTTATGCAAGATTAACCCTTTAACCTTAAATAATTTAGTATTATCACCCGTGTGATTGGTTCAACTATTGCCAATTGAATGAGTTTCTGGCTAAATATAGTCCTTTAATTACAATGTCGAAAGTTTCTTGAATTCACAGTATCATCATCATCTCACTAGCATTTATGAAATTTTAGTTAAGCATATGTTTAACATTTGTCATTTTATACATGACCTGTTACTATTTAAATATCCATCAGGGAAAGTTTAATTGTTCGCGAATAATGCTGCCCATTTTGACTGTTTAGTTAGTTCTTTCTTTAACAAATACCTCAAAGGTAGTTTTCTATTGCTACCAGTCGCATGGTTGTAATAAAAACAGCAATGCTCCCATTGCTTTCTTAGAGAAGGATGGTGTTCTACTTCCTTTGTTACATGATAGTCGACTAATTTTTGCCAGTTACAGTTTGCTGCATTCAAGCCTCTCATTTTTGTTTGACATTTTACTTTTACTTGTATCCTATTTTTCAGGGTTTAAAAATGTATAAAAAAGCCTTATATCTCATTACAACAATAGGTATTAGCTTAGTTGGTGCTCTTTTGAATTATATATCTTCTACTGCTTGCAAGTTGTAAATATTTGGGGCTATCGGCGCTTCAGTTTCATGAAAGGTAGGCGTAACATAAAATTAAAATTTAAAGCAGTTGACAAAATTTTAAATGAACAACATAACCTCACTTGTTCTTTCACAAAAAGCGATAGTAGCATTCAAGAATCTCGCTACATATTGAATATTTTTTTAATGTGTTTTGGAATTTTTTGTTTGCAGAATCCCATATAGTTACTCTCCATTGCAGAAGGATGGAAGGAAATCAAAATTAAAGAAACTTAACCATGAGCTGAATGACATTGAACTTGAAGTGGTGAAGCATAAAATCATTTTTCTGCACACACTCACGCCATCTTATATAATCCTATCTGCATTTTCTATAGCTATATGTTCTTTGTTAATCATTAATGGTACATGAACTGACATACATCTATATTTTGTTAAGGTGCTTTTGTAATTATATCTTATTCTATTTGTTCAGTCTGCAATTGATGACCATTGATCAACAGGATACCATAATATATGAGTCGAGCCATAAGTTAGTCCATAATCTTAGTTACAATATGATATTTAAGTGCACAATATATATATATATATATATATATATATATATATATATATATAAAACAAGTGGGAATTGACTTAATGAATCATCACTTAGCTATTGTATTTTAATTAGAAACAATCTGATTAAGTTGACGGATCTGTCTTTTTAAGCAGAGATGACTTAGCAATTTCTGGTAACCATAATATGATCAAAGATATTAGGGCAAATTAAATTACACACCCTACCGTTTCACCCTTACTCTCATTTTTTTCTCTTGTCTCTTAACCCCTCAATAAAGGATGCCTATAACTCTTGGATCTTTACCATGGCCCATGCCACTTATTTACACCCTGAGAAATTTTAAGAGATGTGGGGGGGGAAGGTGCTAAACTTTTACTGCTGTTGATGTTAATATTGCTTCTTTTGGTCTTTTGATTTTATCAGACTTGGATTTGGACCTATAATATTGTTCCTCTGATTGATAGACTTGCAGTAGTTTTCATTATATTCTGCTTAATTTAATTCAAAATGAGTTGTGTTGGGTAATTATGCTATTATACGTTGTGACACACTACTTAAAGGATACAATGGTGCAAGATATCAAGGTCTCGCCTATCAGTTATTTGGACTTCCCATTTAACAAATTAAGGCGAAGCTCAGCAATTGTTGGAAACGACAAGCATTATTATTACATTGATAACAAAAGTGCCTCTTCTGATAGGGAAGAATTCTTCTATAAGACTGAAAATAATGGTAGAGACTTGTGGAATGGTAATCACTATCTAATTCCTTTCTTGAATTTCATATTTGTTATGTCTAATTGCCTTTACCTTTGTTCTCTAAAACGTTGCTAAAAACTTCATGCATTTGAAACAACTTCAACCGATTTCTTGTTAGCATGTTTAGTAGATGAAGAAATAACATGTAGCAGTGACAGATGAAGCGAACATAAAACTGATAACTGTAAAATAAGAAAAGGAATGAATGAAACGTGAAATACATAACTTTTAAACTTCAGTAATGAGCACATTTGAGATTGGATAATTTATTTTAAGCACTGGAAAGAAGGACTGTTGCATCATTTGCTTAATGGATTCGGTTGAAATGCGACATTCATATATATGTATCAGTATAGTTTCGTCAATGATTCAATTATAACCTGTCTGGTCCAACCACATTTGTCTAGGTTTTATCCGTACTTGATGTGATAAAGAGTAGAGCTGGCATCGATTCATTGGTCACATATTTAGGGTTTCTAGTAAATGACATATGGCTATCTTTTTGGATATTGAAAACTTTCTCTCCCTCTTTTGTGTAATATAGCATGTTCGGGATTCTTCGATGAGACTTTTGACGAAGAGATGGGATATGATCCCTCGTGTAAGAAGACTTTTCATATGGGTTCTAAATCTCCGGAATTATTTAAAAATGGGACCTACGAAATGGAAAATTATGCTTTTGAAGACCTACTGCCAAAGAAATGGTATTCGCTGTACTAGAGGCTAGACCGCGCCTTCCCCTGTTTCCCATGATGATATTTTTGACTTAAAGATGGTTGTATGTATGGCTGTGCAGGTCTTCAGCTATAGCGATGAAAGAGATGGACATGGGCGGTATAATTTGCTTCCTTAAATTATCAAATAGAATCTTCAATGTGCTAAAAATTAGTATGGAACACCATTGGCACTGACAAGATAATTTAATTTATGCGGTTTTACCTACTTTAATTAATTCGCTAATGTGACTGTGAGTTTCTTTTCCTCTGTTATGTCATGCACCCAAATTTTAGAAATTACCTGGTCATTTTGCACTTGACGAACATATAGAAAACCTTATGTCCTATTTCTTAAGAATGACATTACATACAATTGTTAGTTCAAATCAGTTTGAACAACAATAATGCACGTGCGATCACAAGTAACGTTAATTTGTTGATCGATAGTATCTCAACTCTTCACTACCGGTACGTAGTACGTACTAAGCATCTCTGGCGTAAAGCTACATTTACTGCAGGACTAAATATTTATGTAACATGTAACTGTTTTATCAAATACAAAAACCTCATGACAGTACTTGTGGGTGTTGAACACAAACTATTTGACTCCTAGAGAGAGGTAAATCTAAGTATGATGGAAGATATAATATTATAAAAAGAATGGAGAATAATGAGATGTTTCGAATCAGTAGTGTCTACAAATTATTACTCTTTCTCTTATCTACTTTCCAAGCTTACTAGTTTTTACTGCTCATTGGTCAAAATTTCGTCTACTGGATTGAAAGTCAATCACTTATTTTTAGATCTCATGCCATGTAATGAGCATCTAGTGTGTATGATTTTATTGATTGGTTTGTGAATCCAAAACAGATATGACGTAAGTAACGATTTGTATATCCCTCCATGATGGTGTTTTTACTTTTATGCTCTTTTTCTTTATCTTCAGAACCACGGTCTTCATTTCCTAAAGACGAATTAGAGAATGATTTTGACTTTTATGTTACTAGCAGGTCAAGGTATGAATGAACATTATTCTTAGAAGCTCCGTAATGCGATGAGCGTTTTTTTATGTTTTTTTGGTGTCATTAATGCAACAGATTAGATGGGAACTTCAATGCTCAAAATTTCATTCCAGAAGATGTAAAGGATAATTCCACCTTGCTGAGGTAAAACCAGAATAATCTTTTGTTTCATGTAATTTTTTTCTGTTCCTTTATTCTCTCACCTGTGTTTGACTATTTGTCAGCGAAGAGTCAAGCTCATGCACTGCCGGTAATATATGAATATGATTGGTAGTTCTATTTTATACACAAGGCATTGGTGCTATTCTTAATTGGAATGTCTGCATTTTGTGTCAGTGAGGGATGAGTCCAATGCGCATTCACCAACAATATTATTGACTGGAAAGAACAGAAGAAAGCATAGAAATGCTTTTGCAAGCCCTAGAAAACATGGAAATGATTTTTATAGCTCTAGAAATAAGTGCTGTGCTAAGGGCGAAAAGTGCAGAACTATGCCAAATTCATCAAAGCGAATAGCACCTCATTATTCAAGTTCAATTCTCCAGGAAGAGTTGGGGGCCCACAGCAGTTGGCATTTTGACGAAAGAAATCCTTCACTTGATAAGAAATCTGTTGCCGCCCCATTCTGTCTAGACTCAGAGGGAGATTTTGCACTCTTCGGATCCAAAAATAGAATTGAAGATCCTTTTAGCGTCTTTACTACCCCCCAATTAAGTAACAAGGCCAGTCCTTCCTTTGGTGGATTTAAAAAAGCTGCAGCTCTTGCAGATTCACCTCCTTGCAGTTTTACCTCTCAAAAGCTTGCATTTGATTGTTCAACCGCATTCCCCAATGTTGGTTCATGGCCAACGAGCCCAAGTTTATCTCCAGATTTTCAGTTCAAAGGAAAGTCTGTGGATTCTGGAGGTTTTCATTGTGCGGCTTCATCTACTACTGATATGTCAGAGCAAGGAAGTGTTAGCAAAAGCGAGAGACACATGAAACTGCAAAAAGACAGACACACAAATTTTGATCAAGAAAATATTTTCATGGGAGATAATGGATTGTCCTCTGAACAGAAAATGGCAGAAGATGCCCCATCTTCCAAAAATCTTGCGCAAGAATGTGAAGGCACAGAGGACACAAATCCAAAGTTAACAGCAACAGAGTGTCTTGTAACAGCTGACTCTTCTGGTCATTTAGAGGAGATATCATCATTACTCAAGAAACCTGACAAACAAGAAAGCCAAGTAGATAAAAGAAAGTATGTCCATTTTTAATTCTACATATAATATTTTTTCTATTGCCTTGGTGGCTGGGTCAACAATCTCATTAATTCTTACATGAGATATATACTGAGGAAACTGAAATTTTCACCAGGAGCAATTTTGAAGCTGAAACTCCTCTTAAATGTAAAAGTTCAAACGAAGGTATGTGATTCATTGGCTTTATCCATCTAATTTCTTTGCCTTTTGAAATGAAATTCAGTTCACATTTTATTGTGAGGGGATTTGGCATGTATTAGATTTTAAAGATCCAATTCATATCTAATTCAGGTATAGTAAAATTAATTGAATTTGAAATCTTCATTTATTTAATTAAATCAAATTTAAATTAGTCTAAGTTTATATATTTTTAATCCAGTTAATTTAGATCAAATTAACATTAAAACTAAGACTATATATGTGTGCGTGATAAAATTAAATTTAGATTTATTTGAATAATTTATTTATTATCTTTTTATTGAATAATTAAAATATTTGTAAAATTAAATTATTAATTTTGGGAGAGAAAATGTATATAGTGACTAATAGTATTATGGTTCATAAGAAATATATAATTATTTCATGTCTAAGTCATTTTTTTGTGTTATTTTTTTATTATTTAATTATTTTTACTCATAAAACTTTTTTTTGGTTATACGACAATTTGAGAGTATTTTTGTATGCTGTAATATAATGGTTATTTTTACTAAAATTTTCTTATTTTCTTTAATTTTATTTTAAAAAAATAAAAAATAACTTGAGTAATTAATAACATTAATTACTTTTTTATGTTCCATTTGTAAGTCTTTCTAATCAAATAAAAAAACAAAAAATTAAGTGAAGTCAGACTTTTAAATAGGTCATATTAAAATTTAAAGAGAAATATGCAATAAATAAATAAGTCGAGGATAACTTTACTTAGCTTCTGTCAATCATATTTAGTGGATATCAAGTTAAAGATTCTAATTGAGCTTTAAATTATAATGCCTTAATTAAGAATGTGTTGATGATGTTTGGATTAAATTAAGAATGTTTAGATTGAAATTAATCTAATACGATGATACTTCAATGATGATATGAATCAACATGGCATTTTACGGATCAAATTAAAAATATCTCAGTCAAAATAAAGAAAAAAATATTGACCAAACAATTTTGAATTATATATTAATTTTTTAAAAATTATTTTATCTATATTTAATTCAAATTCAATTAATTAGATATGATTTAAAATTTTAAAATATGTATTAAATTTAATAAATTTATTGACTTAAAGTGATTCAGATTAATATAATTATGGATTAATTTAAATAATTGAATTTTTATTCATGCTCTGAGATACGGATGTCCATGCCACACTTCTGTTTTTTGTTTTTTTTTTCAGAGAAGAAATTTGGATTGCCCGAAGAAAGCAAGATGAGTGGAAAACATAATCATGATAAGATTAGCTTGTCAGGTCAAGTTGTGTTTGAAAGCTACGTCTTTCAGCTTCTGCGTGTTCAGAAGGTATCGAAGGAGGCATGTACATGAAGTAATCACGCCTTCCTTCAACCTAGTAGTACCACTAAAATTTCTCTTCAGAGACTAGGTCATCAAAGAAACATTATACACTTTTTTTTTTCTTTCTCGCGAGCATTTTCAATAGATAATTTTCTCACCCAAATTACTAAAAATCGTATCTTTTTTATCATGACACATTTTAGTATATTTAATACTTTAAATTAATTTGTCCAAATTTAACTGTACGTATGAGTCGTACGAAAAAAAGTAGTATATAAAGAGAACTTTGCGTATGTTTGTTTTGGATGAATGGGAAGAAAGAGATATTAGGATTAATTTAAGAAAACTAATATTTACTTGGTTTATTTATGAAATTGTTTTTCAAATAATTTCTTTTTTGACTCATACGTATAAATATTTTTTCTTTTTTCTTTTCTATTTCTGTCTATCTAAGTAAAATTTCTCTACTCTACGTTCTATTCAAAAATGATTTATCAGTCACGTAAATTATTTGAAATTAATTTTGAATCATATATAGTACAGTATTTATGGAAAAAAAAACTTTAAACATTATACTACTCTAATTACTAGTTGTAATAGTGTTTTTTTGTTAAAAGAATGATTTCTCAGCAGCATAAATAATTTTAAACTAAATTTTGATTACAGAGAATATTTGTGAAAATAACAATTTTTCTAACACATTATACTACTTTAATGACTACATATAATATTGTTATACTTTTAAATTAATTCAATAAATATAATTAGTTAATAGGTAATACATTTATTCACAAGCCACAACTTGATTAAGTCTACTACTAAAATGGAATCTATGAACTCAATATAATAAAAAGAAACTAAGAAAACACAAAAAGCTCATCATGACACGAAATTAAAGGATTTTATCGCACACGAAAAACATTAAGTAAATCAGATTAATTCTTTATTATTATAAGGAATTAACTACAATTGATTCTTCTTCTCATCTTTCTCCAGTAGGACAATTTATTTTCTCCACAAGTGAACCGCAAGCGAAATAACTCAAACTAGTTTGGGCTGCCTTCTACTAATACCCAAGAAAAAAAAATGGAGACATACTTAAAGTCACAGATCATTCTAACAAAACACTTAAATTTAGTCCCAACACACGACAAATTTGTCATAGTTTATCCTAAAATATTGAGAGGAAATTATCCATTATTATTAATAGGTTGGGTGCCCACCTGTCATCTTCATCTTCCAAAATTTCGGTTTTGTTTTTTTATTTTTATTTTTTTACCCTTGTTTAATTTTTAAAGTTGATCCAATAAAAGATTTATCTATAAACTTTTTTATTTTATCTTTCTTTTTCCTTCTCTACGTAAACACTCACAATCAATGTTCCCTCTTTCTTTCGTCTTCTGTCTTCTCACCGACTCCATTAATCTCTTTCTTTCACTCATTTTCTCTGTTTTCTCAACTTCTCCATCATTCTTTCTCCAATTTTATAATATTAGTAATTCCTAGTAGACATAATCTTATCCTAGTTTAAAAACTTTGGATTATATATATATATATATATATATATATATATATATATATATATATATATATATATATTTATGAAACTTTAACACTCTGAAATTTACGATTTTCTGCAAAGTGTATTCGGTGGTTTTGTGTGGGACTCGTGAAGAAAATAGTGTGTGAAACTGATTTAATTATTCAGATTGTAGTAAAAGTGAAGAAGATGAAGAGTGGGAAATAGTGTTAGTGTATAATTATTTTTTTTCTTCTAAACAATGCGGACAAAAATATTTTGGTTGACATATTTTTATATTGTTTTATTTTATCCTATGCAGTTTGTTATTTTATTATTATCATTTTTTAAATATTTTGTAATTTACTTAATTATTATTTATCTTTTAATATTTAAAATAGATAATAAAATTTTAAAATAGACAATATCTTGGATGTTGACAAAACTTAACGTTATTATCTAATATATTATTTAATATGATGGAAATAACACCTAGTAATATATTAGATAATGACGAGCAACGAAATGAATTATGTGAAAGAATTAAGATTAAAAAAAAAAAAGCAAAATTGAGGGTCGAAATTATGAATGGAAAAGATTGATTGAAAAGTGAAGACGATTAAAAGAAATCATAGATAGGTACGTATTTAATTCAGTTCATATTTAAGATTTATATGACTCGATATCCACGCCTTCAAAGTTTGATTATTTTATGAAATGATTCAATTGCCCGAAGTAACCTCATTTTTTCTATTAAGTAAATAAAATCAATTAAGGTGAGTAAAGGGTAATCATAGTCTAAAAACAGAGTTCAATATAAATATAAAACAGAAAAATGTTATTAAAAAAATACAAAATATATAAGAAATACATTAAACAAACAAAATCCAAGGATTATTAGGTGAGTTTACAAGGTTAAAAGACATTATCATACCAGTTGAAGATATCCACTTCCAAGAGTGCATATAAATAGAGTCAAGCAACTCTAACCGATTCACAATGTCTTGATTAAAGACCACAAAGTTCTGGTGCAATCAAATAGACCAGATGACCGCAACCCAAATAATAATAAAGTACTGAGATCGCTTATTACTCCTCTCTTGGTCACACCAAACAAGAAAAAAAAGACACCTATATGTCACCGAACAAAAAACAAAAAGATGCATCGGATCTTCTACAAATAAACCGCACATAGGACACAAAGCATAATCCAATTGTACACCACACCCCTGCAGAAGCAACCTGCAGGGAACAAAATTCAAGAAAAGCTACCAAGAAAATACCAAGCATTTGATAGGTACTTTACCTTTCCAAAGTCTGCACAACACCTCCTGAAGAGTAACATCAAGAGACAGAATATTACCCAAAAGAGTCAACAACCAACAATAAGCAGACTTAACAGAATATAACCCTGAAGCATCAACCAACCAACATCAGTAATCCTCTAAGTGAGGATGCAACACAAATCCATCCAGAATTTCCATCAAACTCGCTACCAATGGCAACTCAAATGAGAAGGGAAGACGACGCCAAAGAATGCCCCAAACCCAATTCTCTCCAGACCAATGACCATTCTGCGCTACAACCGAATAGGGATTGAAAGCAAAAGAATATAATATGGGAAAGACCTCCTTTAGCCTAAAGTCACTCAGCCACCTATCCTCCCAAAATCTCGTCGAAGTACCATCCCCACAGTCCGTAATATCTTCTCATCAACCCATTGCCCTCCTAATTGTAAAGTAAACACAAGATCCCGCCACTAACTAGAAGCACACTGATCCGCCAAACACACACTCAACAACGATGGGGCCAAGCCATACCACGGCTGAATAACCTGCGCCCAAAGAGCCCCCGAATATGATAAGCAACGCCAGATCCATTTTCCAAGTAAAGCGTAATTAAACAATTTCACATCCTTAATTCCAAACCCACCCGCTCCCTTTGACCGACACACCAACTCTCACTGGACCTAAGGGATCTTAGACAGATCCTTAAC